CCTTTGCCAGTATCAGATTTTTTTGATCTTATTCCATGTAAGTACGTGAACAAAAGAAAAAAAATTCAAAAGTAATTTGAATTTTTAAATTTATTTTATTTGAGTGTACCTCAAAAGGATAGCGGCTTTTTGATCTTATTCCATGTAAATACGTGAACAAAAGAAAAAAAATTCAAAAGTAATTTAAATTTTTTAATTTATTTTATTTGAGTGTAGAACAAAATTATAGTGATAAGAACAAAAAATAAGAACAAAATTATAATCCTAAATAATTTGATAGGATATAGTGAAAAATTAAAATCACTTAAATATTTTTTTAAGTGTAAATAGAATCCCAATTATTATTCGTACTCTTCTCTTTTTTTTCTAATACATCCCCGTTAATTGTAACCATTTTTTTAGGTGTACTCTTCTCTCGTTTTTTTAATCTTTGTTTTAATCCGTGATGGTTTGTATTATTTGTACTAAGATTCTTCTATTAAGCTAACAAAATTATCATATAAAACGGCTTATTTTAATCATTGAGAGAGAGAGAGAGAATCACAAGTGCATCTTTCAACAAACTGATCAAAAGGAAACAACTGAATTAAATATAACCTTATTTTTTTACTTTTTGCTTGCCTTTTTCTTGTTCAATATCTAAACATGGCTTATGTGTAGTACTTAATTATTATTAGAGAGAGAGAGAAAGAGAGACATACCAGCTACACCAACAACAGAATCCATGGAATCCCTGAGATGGAGGTCCAACCTGGTTTTGAAATGAGGATGAGAGGAATAGAAATCTGAGAGGGCCGTGGAGATACACGTCAAGCCCATTTTACCATCCCAAGTCTTATTAATGTCAACAACCACTCCTACCTTTACTTCGATTGTTGTGTTTGTACTCTGTGCCATGGCCATTCCTCTCAAAAAAATCCTTGTCATTATAAAGAAAGAAAACAAGTCGAAGGCTTTTCCCGTCATCTTGGAACCCTCAGACAATTTCAGACTAGACTTAGCCCCGTTTGGAGACTTACTTTTTTAGTTAATTAGTCAAAAAGTTATTAAATTAGTCAAAAAATCAACAATTCATACCAAAAAGTCAAAGATTCTCTTTTCTCTCTACTTTTTGTACATCTTTTCGTAATTAGCCAAAAAGTCATCCCAAACATACAAGTTTTTTTTACCTACCTTTTTAACCAAATAGCCAAAAAATTACTAAATTAGCATGTTTCCAAACGAGGCCTTAGTAGCTAAATCCAAATTAAACCATGTAACAAACACATAACACGTAATTCACCTACTATGAAAATTTTTAAAAAATTATAGAATATGATACATAGTGAAATTTGTAAATTAAAATCTAATAAGTATATGCTTATATTGTGTTTGTTTTCTTATTAGATTTTGAGGGGCTTGTTTGGGATGTCCTCAATAAGTGTACTTTTTGTCTTTTTAGACTAAAAAGTAGAGGGAAAAAATATGGATATTTGGGTTAACTTTTTGACTTTTTATGAAAAAAATATGTATTAAAATATTATATAAAATTATAAAATTACCATATTATCCTCGCTGACACAAGTAGCTAGACTGTGCAGTGTCCTTACTGTCCTTTTTCAATTTTTTTTTTTTTGTGGCATGTATGGCTTAGAAGTGTGCCACGTCATCAAACCAATTGGAATGTGTGGCTGCACAGTGTTGTGCAGCGCCATTTTGCACTTCTTTCTCTTCTTTTTTTTCAATTGACAGATTTCCTGTCAAAAAAAGTGATGAATAGTATGAATTTTTTATATTTTTAATAACTTTTTAAATTTTTCTGATGATACAAAACTTGGCTCAAGTTATTTATTGAAATTTGTAAAGTGATGGACACGGTTTCAAATCTCAATCGAAAGTGCAAAAAGACAAAATTACACAAGAACACAACTTGAATTCAACACATCTACTCTTCTTCATTCTCTGTCTCTCGTCTTCTCCTTCTCACCCACACCAGTCAACCTTTACCAACTCTCACAGCCTTATGTCTCTACCCTACCTTGAAGCCCTTCCCAATGATGCTTGTTAGAGTTGATTTATCGCAACTAAAATTTTCAACTTTGTCGGCATCTCTGTGTATGAGTTCAAACTTCAATTTAAAATATTCAACAATTTAAATCAAATTAACAGCCTCTTGTTTCTGGCATATTTTGAGCATTTCTCGTTGTCTTGACTTGGATAATTTGGACCATAGGCTCCGTTTAGGAAGAGTTATTTAGGATTTTTTTTTGACAATTTTAGTTACAAAAGACAAAATAGATTATTGTAGTCATTAAAAACAAAACATTACATCTAATCCATAATCATTACATTCTTCTCTCACAAAAAAAGTTAAAAAAGCCAAAATGTCAAAAAGTCATTCCCAAACCAAATTTTTTAACCCAGGCTAACATAGTCAAAAAAAGTTAAAAAGTCAAAAAGTCAACTTACTTTCCAAACGCCACCTATAAAGACCTATCGTAATATATTTTTTTTATCTTTTTGAATCTTGTTACTTTTTTTTTTTTTAACATATTTTTTCAAAAAAACGTCAAAAAAATACGTTTATTTTAATATTTCCCAAACAACCATTTGTGTCCAATTTTTTTCTATGATTTTCTTAGAATGCACAGTAAAACACGTTAACAAAAATACATGATAATAAATTATAAGGGACAGACAAATGGTATTGGCTTTATGGACAAAGGATCTACACTACAGCCCACGGGACCTTCCTAGCAAAGGAGTAATTGGAGATACTATTCAACTCCTAAGATTAAAACGATTCAATACGTTACCATTCAAAATTCTAATTATTTTTAATTGATCTAGCCGTGTTATCATAATCATAATAACTTTAGTTCTGATTTTCAAAAAATAATTTTTAGAAGATTTTACCTTTTAACTTTTCGTATTTTAATATTTTTAATGAATTTTTTTAATATTTTAAAAAAAATTAATTTTTAGACATACCTAACATAAATACAATTCAAAAATATAATATTTATGAAAAAGTATTTAAAAAATACACTAAATACCATAAAATATAAAAAATACCAAAATTCAATACATTTTTCATATTTTTGTGTATTTAATAATTTTTTAAAATATTTTTGCACAAATATTTTACTATTTAGATATATCTAAGTAAAGTGCATCGAAAAAAAGTAAAAAAATTGTTTAAAATTTAAAAAATATTCACTAAAAAAAATAAAAAATTCAATTTTCGAAAATTAAATTCAAAAAATTAAAACCAAACAAACTGAATTATTTTTAACTGATCTACACGTGTTATCATAACAACTAAAGGACAGACAAATCGGACAGGCATCATGGGCAGAAATATGTAGCCCATGCGACACCTTCCTAGCAAAGGAGATACTATTCAATTCATGTGAATACCAACTCCAACATCAAAAAAATAAAAATAAAATCATTCAAAAACGCTACCTTCCTAACAGAGATATTATTCGTGCGAGGACCCACTCCAAGATCAAAACCATTCAAAATGGAGCTCCTAAAAAATATCTATCATTTACTTATATTTTAGGAGTACTTGTTAATAAGATCCTTATATGATTACTCATAATTGATCTATTTATTTACAAATAATCATTACATGTAATTTGGTTATTCAAAATCGTTAAAAAAAAAAAACAAAAAAGAGCAAAAAAGAAAAATTGATTTAGATAAAGGAGGTTATGGTTTTCACAATTCACTTCCAATAGAATTATGACCTTGACTTTCAATTAGACGGATTTAAAACGGATTTAAAAATGAAAGACTCTTTATTAGACGGATTTAAAAAGAAAATTTGTTACTTAAAATTAAAATAAAATGATTTAGAATAAAATAAGGGCTCACTTTCTTGTTTAACCAAAGGTTTTACGCTACTAGCTCTAACAGTACTTAATTATTGATTATATATATACACTAATGGTTGGTTGACACACGTGATGTGTGTAAATTATATAAATAAAAATAAAATAAAATAAAATATTTAGCATATATTAGTTGTAATCTCAAGTGATAAGAGTCTTTCTTTTTAAATTTATGATTTTAAGTTCAAGTCCCGGCAAATTCTCTTCTCTATTTTTGTTTTTTTTTTTTTTTGTTTTTACATAACTGAACACTTGGCATAGAGAGAGACAAACTGAATACTTGACATAAAAAGAGACAAAATTTCAAGAAATCAATCTAACTACTCACATATATAATAGTATATGTTAATGTACATTGTATAATTTACCATCACCTACCACACACTTACCCTCACCTACCACACACTCACCTACTACACTCACCTACCACCACCTACTCCCTACACCTACATCTATATAAAGAACCTTTGTAATACAGAAAATATCAATGAATACACCATTTTTCAATACATCAATACATACAATTTATTCTCTTTCTATCAATTTATCTTACATGGTATCAGAGCTAGGTTAAGAACTTAGTATTTTTCGCTTCACCGGCGGGCGGCAACCTCGCCTTGGCCGCCCGCCGGACCTCACCCTAGTCCGCTAGCATTTTCCACACATACCTTCACTTTTCTTCACCACCTCGCCGAAGTAAAATCCCTCCGGGACATTTCGTCGAACACCATGTCTGCAACAATGATGGGCATGACACACAGGCTGCTAACCCACAACATGCTATCATCCAACATCAAGGGGGTCACCAATAGCTTCCCTCTCCGAATCGAAGTCCTCTTCCTCGTCTTCCGACGAATTCCTCGATCTCTCTCAATTGAATCTTCCCAAAATTCAGTTGTTTCGAGCTCTTGGCACAAAACAAGAGCAAGTCGAGCTCCTATGGCCGCTTCCTCATGGTTATCTTTCACTTCCAAGTTTATCACCAGCACCGGTTTCATTAGAACATGATCTTTACTGTGGAGATCTTCAATAATCATGTCAAAAAAAACCTTTTCTTCAAATGTGAACACCACATCAAAGTAACCATCAGCACCTCTCCCTCCCTCTCCCTCTCTATAACCATCTCTTTCTCTCTCTAGAATAAACAAGCAAAACCTGGGGTTCCCAGTTGGCTACACAGAGCTCCTCCTCCCAAAACTCCTCCTCCACACACTTTCCATTCTGGGTTTCATCAGAAAACTCATCTCATTCCTTTTCCGATCTCTGGGTCTCGGCGATTTTCTCGAACCTGACATTGCATGGCCTGCCCGACTCGACTGCTCTTCGGAGCCCCACTCAGTCTCCGCGATTCTGCTCCGGGAACTCCTACCCGTGGTCCAGTTCTCGGATCTCCTGGACCCGCCCGAGAGCTGCGCGGTTTGCCTCTACGACTTCGACGGCGGCGATGAGATCCGACGGCTGACGAATTGTCGTCACATCTTCCACCGGAGCTGTCTTGACCGTTGGATGGACCACGATCACCGGAACTGCCCGCTTTATCGGACCCTATTCATACCCGACGATTTACAAGACGTGTTTACTGCGAGACTCTGGGCCGCGTCGGGGATTTCGGATTACTACGGCGAGTACTCGCCGATTACTGCTGGTATGCAGGAGGCTGGTCCACACTCCATTTGGTGGTTTGATCTCCGTGGAAACAATATCATCATATTTTCTCTTCTTTCATTTCCACCCACGGCACTCCCAGCCGACAGACACACATGCACTTTATTCCACCCCCAGCGCACATGCTTTCCCCTTACTCCCTTTTTTTTTTATTCTTATTTTTATTATTCTCCACCAAAACAAAACAAAAACAACACACACCTCCATACGCACTATCATATTTTTACATAAATGGCGTGCTGTACTCAAGATTGGTCCCACCGAACCATCTCCACTTGTTATCATGGAAAATGCTAATGGTCTGGCTCTTTTCATAGTCCCTGCTTGACACACCACCTAACTTTCTTTTTTTTTTTATTTTATTTTATTTCCTTTACCACACACTTTACATCCACTTCCTCATATTTTATTTCATAGTCCCCTTTCATCTCTCTCATCTTTCCCCTTTCCAACTCAAAATCTTTTTTTTTTATTCAACCCCCCAACCCCATTATAAACTTTTTTATTCCATCATATTTCCCCTTAATTTATTCCACCGCACTATCTCTATATATATATCTTTTTTTTTTATATTCCACCTCTCCCAATTTTAACAATTTAAATTTTATATTTTTAATCGTGTTCCAATGTTAACCCCTATCTATTTTTGAGTCCGGATTCTCGGCCGCCCTACCCGGCAGCCCCCCAAAACAGCGTCGTTTTGGGGAAAAATTTTAAAAACAAAAAAAAACGCAGAGGAAGATGTGCACACCAAACTCATTTTATTCCTGTCGGGGCTCACCCCGATCACCATGTTTCCACATACAAAACAAAAAAACAAAAAAAACAAAAAAAACAAAAAAAAAAACAAAACAAAACCAAAAAAAATTACAAACAAACAACCACAGGTGGGATTTTTCTTCTCTACTCTGCCGCCGGTCTCTTCTTCTTGCCTCTGTCCTGGGCGGCCCTTGACGGTGTTGCCTCCGTGCTTCCTAGACCACCAAGCAAGTTGCCTCCTCCCTGCTCCTCCACTGCAGCATATGGCGGCCCTCCAAATCGGAACATCACGGTAGCCTTCCGCTTCAGCTCTTTATTTTCCGCCTTCAACACACTTATCTCTGCTCGCGCATCCTTATACATGCGTTGGAGCAGAGCCAGTTGGGCGTTTAACTGCTGCACCTTATTTGTCCTACTCTGCAGCCGGTGCGACAAGTTTGTGACCGCCGTCATGGACTCCACACATGCCTTCAAAGTATACTGATTGGCTTCAATATCCGTTTGCACAGCCATTTTTTGCTCCACAGACCGCATCGGAAAGTTCAACGGAGCAAACTCCGGAGCGCTTGGTTGAGGTTCCAGTACCACCGCACCAGTTCTCTCTCTTGTTGACTCGTTGAGGTCAGGAAAGAGAGTCAGCAACCCACGGGAAGACGAGGCCATTTTCTGGGCAACCAAGTGTTACAGAATATCTCTCGCAACAGAGTGTTACAGACACTCTCTCTCAGCACAACGAAGAGTTTTTCAGCGTTTTTTAGCGGGTTTTCTGCCTCAGCCTTAGCCTCCGCTTCGCTTTATAAAGACCTTGACGCCGAGGCAGCCACGCGCATCGCGTGCCTCTTGACGCCAGACAAACGGGCACGCCAGCCAAGGCACTCACGTGCCTCGCCATCATCTTTGGCACGCCTTTTGATGCATCAGGCACGCCTTTTGATGGCACGCCTTTTGACAGATTGGGCACACCTTTTGAGGGCACGACTTTTGAGGACTCGATATCTACATCCATGTATATTTTTTTTGAGCAGCCTATATACACACTCATACAGTATCTTCTCCACCGGTCAGCTTTATCAATCCCTTTTCAACCTCAAATAGGTTTCTATCTTCACACCTATTTGAGTTTGAGGGGGGGTTATACACAGTATCATGTATAAGTCGCTCATGGCGCACTCCCTAAGTCGCCCCCTTGGTGCACCACCACAACCTTTCTACATCGGTCCGACATGACCCCGTAAACTGTCCTGCTACATCGGTCCGACATGACCCCGTAAACTGTCTTCTACAACGGTCCGACATGACCCCGTAAACTGTGTCTACTACAACGGTCCGACATGACCCCATAAACTGTCATCTACAACGGTCTGACACGACCACACAGTGTCTGCTACATCGGTCCGACATGACCCCGTAAACTGTCTGCTACAACGGTCCGACATGACCATACAGTGTCTCCTATCCCATTTTTAATTGTCAGCTTATTTTTCTGTTTTGTTACTCTCTCCAAACTCAAGTTGGCTAGTACCTATCCTCCTTGAGTTTGAGGGGGGCTGTTAATGTACATTGTATAATTTACCATCACCTACCACACACTTACCATCACCTACCACACACTCACCTACTACACTCACCTACCACCACCTACTCCCTACACCTACATCTATATAAAGAACCTTTGTAATACATAAAATATCAATGAATACACCATTTTTCAATACATCAATACATACAATTTATTCTCTTTCTATCAATTTATCTTACAATATAGGTACATATTTATGTAAATATTATATTAGAGAGAGAGAAAGAGAGAGATACTTGCTGCAGCTACCCCAACAACATTATCCTTGGAATCCCTGACGTACGTAGAGGTCCAGCCTGGTTTTGAAATGAGGATGAGAGGAATAGAGATCAGAGAGGGCCATGGAGATACACTTCAAACAGATCTTATCAACCCAAGTGTTCATGTCAAGAACCACTCCTACCTTCACTTGGACTGCTGTTGTGTTCTGTGCTATGGTCATTCCTCTCCAGGAAATTATTGTAATAATAACTATAAAGAAAAAGAAGAGGGAGAAAACAAGTTGAATGGTTTTTTCCATTATCTTGGAACCCTCAAGACAACTTTTGAACCTAAATCCAAACTAAAGAATGTATTTGTACCTCTGTGTTATATGGGGGACAAGTCAAAAAAATAGTATATGATTTTATACATTATTATTAGATCAATGTTAAGAACATATAAACTAAAGACAGAATAAAATATAAATGTTCGGTGATGTTATATGTATCAATTAGTATACAAACTAATATGTCAAAACTAATTATAATATTATTATTAACTCCAACCAGAGATGTGAGAGAGAGAGAGAGAGAATGAGAGGAGAAGTGGCAGCAAGTTGGAAGGCCATCTGGCATTTGCTTAGGTTTGGTGAGAGAGACACCTCGGCGTAGGACCCAACCGAAGGTTCGATTGGAAAGAGAGAGAGAGTAGCAACCCACACGCGCCTTTGTGCAGAGCTCAAGTGGGGCCGCTCAAAGGAGCTGACATTTTAGATTTTTAACCAAAGAGTTTTTCGGTATTTTGGTAAGCGATCGTGTTACGTAGCTCGAAAACGGGGAGCTCAAATGGCTCGATTTTTTTTTTTCCGCAGAAGAAGAACGAAGACCAAGAAGAAGAAGGAAGAAAGGAGGAAGAGGAGGAAGGAGGGAGGAGGAGGAGGAGGAGGGATAGGTGTAGAGAGAGAGAAGGGAGGGGAGGTGGAGGAGACGAGAAGAAACAAGATGCTATCTTCGGCGGCGGCAGCGGCGGGTGACTCGACTTCGTCGGAGACGGGTGGCGGGCAACGCGATGGTCTTCTTCCTCAGCTGTTCCTCTCTCTCTCTCTCTCTCTCTCTCTCTTCCCCTCTGTTTCTCTGTTTCTCTCCCTCTCCCTCTGCTTCTCTCTTTCTCTCCCTCTGCTTCTCTCTGCGTCTTCTCCTTCGAGCCATTCAGGGCAAAATGTTTCGAGTTACGAAACATTTCCCTAATTAATATATATATCATTATGAGTCCCCTTAGCAGCTCGAATGTAAGGAGGCTCGAATGGCCCCATTTCTATGTACATCCCCAGATTCCTTGCACACCCCATCTCTGTTCAGCTATACCTTTCATTTCAAAAAAAAAAGAAAAAGAAATAACAAAGAGTAGAGAGAGAGGACAGAACTGGGTAAGAGAGACCAATTACAAAACCATGTTCAAGTTGCTCTTCCAACATTCAACACACATTTAAAATCAAATTTACAGACTCCACAACATTTACAGATTTATATAACACAGTTTTAACAGATTTATAACAGATTTTTGACAAAATTTTAACAGATTATTAACAGATTTACAGATTTTCCGTCCGTGTTTTGCTGTCGCAGGCCGTCGTTCGTCCTCCGCCGTTCGCTGTCGCAGGCCGTCGTTCGTCCTCCGTCGTCGTTCGTACTCCTTCCGCGATCAGAGAGCGCGATCGGAAGGTTTAACAGAGATGAGAGGTTACTCGGTCTCCTCACTCTCCACTCTCTGTTCTTTCCTTCTTTCTTTTTTTTTATTTATTTATTTGAAATTAAAGGTCTGGTATGACCGGGATCCTCTAGAGTGAGAAGCCTACAGTCATCTCCTAGAGTGATCGATCCAACGGTTGACATTAAATCTCACCAAAACGACGTCGTTTTGGTGAGAAATTTGAAAAAAAAAAAATCAATCCATGGTTCTTCTTTGCCTTTTCTCTTTCATTTTCTTGCTCAAGAAAATCATTCAAAATCAAGAAATCTCACATTCAGAGATGGATTGATTTCTGAGTTTTTGAGTTTTTGAGTTTAAATTGAAAAATCAGTACTATCTGAACAATGGAAAAATCAATGGATTGAAAAATGAAAGAGTTTATTTGAAAAACTCAGAAAGGTTCAACAGACAAGAAATCACAAAGAAATCACAACAGACAAGAAATCGAAAAATCAATCCATGGCTCAAGAAATCGAAAAACCATGGAATGATTTGAAAAAAAAAAAAAAAAATCGTGTGGGAGAGAAGATAAGACAGAGCATTATGTTTGCCCAAAAACAAAAACAAAAATACAAATACAAATGAAATCAACAGAATTAATACCCAACTGGAAATTGGGTTTTAGATTAATAAAAAAAATCTATCACAAAAAAGGGAGGATGAAGTTGGAGAAAGAAAGTGATAGGAGAATGAAGGAGGATGTTTGCCCAGATCTGTCAATTGCATGATGATGAAGTTAGAGAAAGAAAGTGATAGGTGTAGAGAGAGAGAAGGGAAGGGAGGTGGAGGAGACGAGAAGAAACAAGATGCTATCTTCGGCGGCGGCGGTGGCGGGTGACGCCACTTCGTCGGAGACGGGTGGCGGGCGACGCGATGGTCTTCGTCCTCAGCTGCTCCTCTCTCTCTCTCTCCCCCTCTTCAGTTGCTTTGAAACTCATCAAACCCAGGAAATTTTTTTTTCCTTACCAAAATAATCTCAACCTTTGATTTTATTAGTGAGGCACGTGTCAAGCTGTAAAACATCACTCTAGAGGATCACTTCACCATATCACTCCAGAGGATCCTTGCGCGGGGTGCATAAGCAATCTATGTGCACAGAATTTGTGGCTCAAACATTTTTCTATTTCATAAACGTGACACAAAGAGTAGGTTCTTGATGTGAATCCGTGTAGATTCCTCATGCGAATCCATATCATATGACCCCACTCATTGATAACTTATGTGTTTAATTATTTGTTCAGTTAAACTTATTGTTATTATTACATGGTGGGGATAAGAAAAATGTCTCGTAGTTCAAATTTTGTGGCTCAAAAGTGGCTCAAATGGCCAAAACGACGTCGTTTTGGCCATTTTTATGTTGTTCTGTACTCAAAACGACGTCGTTTTGGCCATTTGAACCACTTTTGAGCCACAAAATTTGAATTACGTAGCATTGTCGGTGGGGATAATGACACGATTGGAAATATTAGATCTAGGTAATTTTCTTTTAAATGACATATTAACCCTTTGACAAATTAAAGACAATATTAAAACTTTTAATTTGAGTGTGGTGTGAACTAAGTAAATAGTGAAGAGATGGCGTGTACTGAGACAATTAATAGTGTGCAAATAGAATTTTTCAAAAATGAATAGATGAAAGGAATAAGTATTACAATTTTCAATTTAAGGGTGTAAAGTGATGTTAGATAATAGTTTACGGAGGATAAAATGTAATTTGCCCATCTTTATTTTCTGACTATACTATTATTAAAGCTTCTTTTTATGTCAATGTATATTTAGAGCATTGTGAATCTGTTTAACAATTCTTGTAGCTTGAATAAATCAGGGAAGGGAAAAAGGCTTGGAAAGGGAGGGAATCGATACTGGAAGAACGTTGGATTGTGGTTCAAGACTCCTAGAGATGCCATTGAAGGTATATGGTACATAATGGCGTTTAATTTTTTTTTTTCAATTTTATTTAACTGTGTACCTAAATTATGGTTTTTTAGCAGTTATTTTTCTAATGGGTTTGTATGCTTTTAAGGTGTGTTTTGTTGTTGGATTGTGTATGAGAAATGACAAGTGGGAAATAAGTTGTTCCAGGCTTTACCTGAAATGCTTTATTTTGAATGTTGCATTGGACTTGTTTTGTTGGATTAAAATTTGAAGAAAACCATGTGAGCAATTCTTACAGCCAATAGTGAGTAGAATTTCTTACTACAATTTCTCTATCTTTTATGTTCCATTCATACCAAAACAGACTATAACAGAGCATATCAACCAACTACATTAACTAACAAAGGCCGAATTGGCATGGACTAAAAAATCTGGTGGCTTGGCAACCACCTAAATAAGTTGTTTATTGACTTATTTGTTACAAGTTGTCACATCACCTCTCTATTTTTCTATCCGTATTTTTGTAAAAAGTCAAAAAGGCACTAAATAAGTCGTACCCAAACCACCCAAAGCAAAAACATGTTTGTCTTGAGCTAATAATAATAATAATAATAATAAAATAAAATTTCTCAAGAAAATATAATAGACGAATAATCATTCGATAGAAAATTATTTATTTGAATATCCTATTTCCTATCATAATAAGCATATAAATCGAATCAGTAGGATTATTAACTCAGGAGTATGAGTACTAATAACAGAAAATCAACTTTTTCAACAATTATTAAACGCATCGGCTTTTTTTTTTTATTTTAATAAAGAAATTGCAAAACTCCATCTAGACTTTGTGATATTAACACTCAAGTAAATACCAATTTGATCTTTACAATTCAAAGTATGTAGATTGTTTCATCTGTATGTGTGTGTGCGCGCGCGCGAACAATGTCATGAATAAAAAAATTTACAATCTTTATAGGTTAATGGCTAGAGATGGGTGAATTTCTATGGAGAAGGCACGATTGTCTTCAATTCTTTTGAGTGGTTCATGGTTTGATGCTCTTCTTGATTGGCAATAGCATATTTTCTACTGTCATACTTTCCTGTTTATATTTCTTTAACATACCATTGTTTTGGGTCACTTTTTATTTTGTTTAATAATGTATAAAATAATTGAGGTATCGAAGTGTTTCTATTTCAAAATAGAATACTATTACTTATTTAAGCACCTTATGTCTTGCACATCTTTTGTGAAGATTTTGATTGATTTTTAGTGGTTTTTAATTATGTTTTGGCGTTGATGTTAAGCATTTACTACTTTGTTATCCGCTTCAATACCTTGTGCAAATTGTTCTTTGTTCATAGGAATTGTAGCAAATTCCAGTGCCCACGATCAGAGTAAACGCATGGGAACTGCTGGTGACTGTTCACATACTAGTTATTCAAGTCCATCTCCTTTTCACCCTCCCCCATCACCTGTTTGGGGAACTCATCATTTGTAAGAATATATTTTCCATGTTTGGTTTGTATTTGTGAAAGAATTTTGAAAAATAATTTTTTGGAAAGAGTTTACAAAATTTGAAAATTTGTTTTGTTGTATGTTTTGAAAATAGTTTTGGAGTTTGAGATGATTTAATTTAATTAATTAATTAAATTTTTTTTTTGGTAAGTGTTGAATTGGTCTTCAAAATTGGGTTTTGTTGTGCAATCAAGAATTCGCATGCTTATATGTTGAAATAAATTACTAAAAGCTCTGGCAATTTTTTTAGATTATTTTTCTCAGTATTATTTTATTAGGAAAATATCATATAAATAGAAAATGGGAAAACTAATTGCAAATCAATGTACTGCAAGTGAGTGAGACATAGACATGTTTCCTGGTGCAAGTGCAGATTGTGCCTGGGACACATGTCTTCTTACCGATTTGCACAATCTGCACGTGCACCGGGACATGTGTTTTCTCACTTGCAGTCCATTGATTTGCTATTAGTTTTCACATTTCTCATCCCCTAGTTTATTCTTATTGGTGATTCTCAATTTTATTATGACATTATAAATTTTCTTAGCATATTTATCTTATTAACTTCCCATAATATACACTGTTTTGGTTGATATCCGATCAATGTGATTTTTCACAGCCATGTAGTACTCGATGAGTTCTACACATTTAGCGGTTCAAATTATCAAAACAGAACCCGTGCTGGGTCTCCACGAGCTGAACAACAGTGTGGTAAAATTACACCGTGTAACTTTTTGTCACACAACCGCAGCACAGATCTGATTTCGTGTTGGTAAATAGTAATAAAATTAATTTTTTTAATTTTTTTTTTATAAATAGTAATAACTTTTTTATTTTTTCTTTTATAATTTTTTGTCTTTTTTCAAAGACCCCAAACCAAACCAGGGCCAAGAAAAGTTATCAAAATATAAACAGACAAATCAGGAATGGACCTATGAAGGGAGCGAACATATATATTAATTTAAAAAAAAATTAAAATAAAGTATAGATTACAATATCAATTTATACCAATATTAAAAATAAAAAAGTAACATTAAAAATATATAAATAAAAATTGAGTGAATTGTAACCATAGTCCTTCAAGTTTGACACATGTTTCATTTTAGACTCTATAGTTCTAACTGTACCAATTAAATCCCTCAAGATTCAATTCCAAATCAATTTAGTTCTTTTAAGAAATATAGAAATAAATAATTATAAGCCCAAAAGTTCTATTAATTACTATAAGACTCTATTTTCCTATTAATATAATTATAAAATCTCCGTAAAATTGCATTTGTTTATTAGAATCGATACCAAAACCTGATTTCTATCCTGATTTCTCAACTTTATCAATATAAAAAGTCTAATAAGATAACTTAAACAATAATATTTCACTACAAATAATAATTAAACAAAATTATACTATAATCAAGTTATTAAAAGAACTTAACAAAAATCTTCAGGAAAATTAACTAAAAATTATACATGAAATTTGCCATCTACTAGTAGATAAATATAAGAAATTAATTAATTATTATAAAAAATAAGTAAGAAAACTCCACAAATAATTATCTTTATCCTTACCAAAAAAGTTCTTCAAATGAACTTTTTAAATTAACACCACCAGAAAAATGAAAAAATAATGTTTGATAAGATAAATATAAAATAAAATAACATAAAAGGTATTTTTGTAATATAACAAAACTTAAAAAGGCAATAATAGAATAACTAAAATCTTAGGGTCAGTATTGTAAAGCAAAAAGGACCAGGCGATACTGTGCGTATTCTTATTTCCATTTCAGCATGGCCTGTTGCAGTATCATTACACGCAATAAGTGATCTGTTGGAGAATAGATTTAAATATAAATAATAAAATAAAATAAAAAGGTAATAATCTTCACTTTATTCACAACTGATGACATGACAGTAGCATCCGCAAAATCAACCCTTATCAACTGCATCATTCTACATTTTATTGCATTTAATCTATTAACTCGTACTAAAATTTTTCCCACCCGGTAAAATATAGTAAACACAGTTTTGGTATTACATAACTGTCATTTAAAAAAAAAAAAAAAAAAAAAATCAACAAAATCTATGTTGACTTCTGTTGGCTGTAACGCAGTATTCCATAGACATCGATGATACCAGGAGGGAAAACAGGGTCAGTTGCTGCTCTGACGGCAACCTTAGCCACAGAAGTAACATTAACAGGTGGTGTAAGCAGAGGACCAACAAGCGGAACCTGATTCAGTGGTTTTGCATATTGAAGAACCTGCATTGGTTGTGTACTGAGGTTAATAATCAAAGACAAACACAAGACGAGTGAAAACTGCCCGTCACTCCCTAGTCATCAAGTGAAGAAGGAATTTGGAATGTAGCAGCGTGAGAGAGAGCAACCGAGACCTCTATTAAAATAAACCAAACTTAACATATTAGAGCAGTAGTCTATCCCAGATGAGTCATTTTATAGAGATTGCAGAAAACAAAATATTATTTAAAAGTTTAGATGCATCTGAGATAAGTAGACCTCTGACTGATGATATCATTATATTATTGAAATCGCCATTGGCAGTTTAGGGACATAAGGGGAAAAAGCACATTCAAAACAATTAGTCATCTATACAAAGCACGAGAAAATTACCATCTCCAATGGAGAACCGATTACACCCAGGGGTATCTTCATGCTCCCAACTCGGCGTGTTCCATGTATAAATCCAGGCCTTAGAATTACACCTGAAAAAAGTTAGATCTTCTGTCATTCGTAAGTCTTCGATTCTACACTAGACTAATTGAAAACATTTCACTAGTTTGAAGGAAATAATTTGAGAGACTTGTGATTAAAATCAAAGCAATATGGATTTATACACTATTAATCCCTGCTCATTTAGGTTTTTTAATTTAAAAACTCTAAAGCCTAACCATTTGGGTGATTTAGCTAATTACATATTTAACATTATGAGGGCTGCTACATATCACTTCTTTTTTTTCATGCCCTGTGTGTTATGTAAAGTTTTCAATATAGTGGGACATATACGTACACGTGGCTTTTATTGCATGAATACACATGGGAAGTGAAATAAATATGTGATAAATAGCATTTCTCTAACATTACGATTATAAGAGAAATTGCTACACCAAAACACAATTTACTGCTGAGCTAGTCAAAAGCTACCCAAGAAATACAGCCAAAATGTTTCCAATAGAAAAAGTTTTCCATTGATTGGGACCTTGAAAATAATATGCTAATGGTTGTATTACTGGTGATGGAAGGGTGGTATAGGTGGTGGTGGTAGTGTGTTAGTATTGATAAGCATTTTCCACCTTTCAAAAGCGAAAAATATTTTCTATCCAAATAAATTTATTTTCTGTTGACTATGGAAAAGCATTTTCTGTTAACTTTGTTTTCCGTCATACCAAACACCATAAAATGTTTTAAGCCGAAACAAATGGAATGTCCATTTGACTATTTAATTTGAGATCTTACAGGCAACCAGCTGCCATCACTCTTCTCTGCTAAAAATACCCAAGTGCCAGGTATCAGTCAAAAATATATCAGTTACATTAACAGCAAGAAAGCTCACCTCCATATGGAAATTTGGTTAGCAGCTCGGTTTCAGCAGCTCGCTGCATTCCACACGATCAAGCATAAATATAATCTCAAGAAAAGAAGAAATGCAAAGAGCAAACAGTAAGCATCACAAGGAAACTAACAATGTCCATCTTTAAACAATTTCTTGACAAGTTGAAGTAATTGCGTATAATAAAATTATCAAAGCGAGCATAGGTTGAAAAACTGATATCAGTATCTCACCGTAAAATATCAAGTTCTATATTAATAGCACATACAGTATAATATTAATGCACTAATTTTCCAATTTTATGCTACCTCAAGATTATTAAACCCCTTCCTGAGTTTTGCGAACTTATAGAGTGGACTAAACACAACCCCACTAGTGTCACATTGTGATAGATGATAATAGATTACACAGAACTCATATTGAACAGGGATTACTAGCTCTATTCATTGGACAATACAACATATAAATAGGGAGGCCAAAAAACAAACAAAAAAAGAGAGGGAGAGAGAATAATAGATTTTGAGAATCCTTTTCAAAGAGCAATATTTTGGTAAAAAACTCATCAAGGTACTGTGATGTAGTTGCTAATGTGTCTGCTGATGGACACATTCTCCCTTGAACAGGCTATGCATATCCTTCCTTAGTCATTTCACAGTCAAGTAATATAATCTTTTTCGAAAGACTGTGAAGAAAGACCAATGTTTCAAGTTCTTCTACGAAATTGAACTTATAAATGAAGGTCACAAGATGGCTTTTCCATTCAACATCACCTGCCTCTGATGTTATGGGGAAAAGAAGGATTACTGACTTGGTAATGGCTCGTGTGGTTTATTAGATTATTTGGACAGACTTAATCAGCTTCTTTAAATTCCCCTAGACAAGTCAGCCTAATTATTCTTGCTGTTTTATAGAAAATTACTGCTTATCATCAAAGTCATCTCTTTTTGGTGCATTAGGAAATAAACATAAATAATTTATCCAAATAAACCTCCCTTTTCAGTGTCGTATTTTGATTTCATTCCCTGATGTCATGATATGAACCTTCAGAATCAACAATTAATTTCTAATTGCTAAATGAGCAACCAAAAATGCGCAATTAATTTAATAGTACCTTTCCCTCGTAATACCCTTTTAGCAAGTAATTTACCACGCCAAAGTCAGCAGCAGAGATATAGACAAATCTTTTTACACCTACAAACAAGAATGAAGACAAAATTGAGCAACCAACACAAGTGTGGAGAGGAAACACAGTCTGAGGAAGATGTCAAGAGTAAAAGTTAACGAGGTGGAGTTGTAAACCTTTAGTTTGTAGAGTCTTCTATAAACTCTTGATTGATAATAGATTACTTCGAGATGCCCATGGTTTGTCCAATGGAGATTTTTATTCCTAGGGTTTTCCATGTAAATCAATGTCTTACTTATTTTACTGTGATTTTTGTGGACGCCTTTAACTAATTAATATACTTCAGATTGGCATATTGACCTATTGAATTTAATTGGATCTCATGAATGCTGAACTTAAATTGGCTAGAAGGAACCTAGGATTCGGCCTATTAACCCCCTCTAGTCGTAAACTAGTCCATCTCCACTATTTCAAACTACATTGTAATTTATATCCTACAAATAGTTAGGAGATTACACATCCTACTATTTGTGAACTAGCTCATTTCATTGATCCTCAAATGAGAGGTGAGAAACATAGAATATAATTTTTTATGCAAATACGTTGGAGCGCTATGAAGCACGGACACGAACACGGACACGTGACACGACACGGACACGTAAATTTTCAAAAAATAGAGGACATAACACGCTGGGGATACGTTTAATATATATTGTACGGGGAGCAAATATTCCGGCGTGCCCGTATTCCTTTCTTCCGAGCTCCGTCGATGTCCGATCACCTGCGAGTCAATAAGGATGAGCTACCCGGCGGTGTGTGGCCGGAAAAACCCTCCGACGGTCAAGTTAGCACACACCTTAGAGGGAATAGAGAGAAGGGAGAGAGTGTTTGAGTGTAAGGATTTTCTTACAGAGTGTTCGTCTATCTCGTATGGGGGGCGCAGACAGGCTTATATACCTTCTGTGCCCCATATCCACTCCCTGTCATCTCCTGACACGTGGCTCTGCTATCCCATCTGTCAGCTTAAACCATGCCGTTCATCACCTGCTCTCAACTGCCTGCCAGCATAGCTGGAGCTCGGCAGCCGAGCTGCCCTACCTCGGTCATACCATGCTTCATACCTTAAGCGCCCGACCGGATAACCGAATGAAGGACCGAGACAGCGACTGAGACAAAGACAACATCGGAGAAGAAGAAGAAGAAGAAAAAGAAGAATGAGGAGGAAGAAGAAGAAGCGAATGTATACCTTCGATAACAGCTGACGAGCGACGACGAGCAACCAGGTCTGCTCTCTTTCTCCTCTTCTGTTCTTCTGTTCTCTTCTCTTTCTTTCTGCTCTATTCTACCTCGATTTAGGGCACATTGTTTTGTTTTTATTTTTTTACAAATTGACCCCGAAGTAGTTCCATAAACTGTGACATTGACCCCGAGCACGTCTCGAAGGTGTCCGGAACATGTCCGGCTGCCAAAAAAATAAAATGGGACACTCTTAGCTGTGTGTCGGACACGTGTCCAACACTGGTATGGAGCCCTCAGAGAGGTGTCCATACTTCATAGTTGGAGCATCTAGAAAGAGCATGACAGCAGTGTTTTAAAAAGCGCACTTAGGCACGCGCCTAAGCTCAAGGCGAGGCAAGGCGCAGCTTTCCGCCTCAGTCATGGTGAGGCGAGGCGACACAGGGGAAGCGATGCCTAGGCGATAAGGCGAGCGCCTTATTACGAAGCGCAGGGCGAGCGCCTTGTGCACCTCGGCTTTCTTCCACTCCAACAGGTTCTGCTCTCTTCTCCTCTTCTTCTCTTCTCTGCTTCTTCTCCTCTCTCTGCTTCTTCTCTTCTGCTTCGTTTCTGCTTCATCTTCGTCTTCTCTTCTCTTCTCTTCCCTTCTTTCGTTGTCTTCTTCTTGCTTCTGCTTCACGATCGCTCTCTCTCTCTTCTGCTTTGTTTCTGTTTCGTTGTCTTCTGCTTCGTTTCTGTTTCACGATCGCTCTCTCTCTTTCTCTCTCTCTCTCTCTCTCTCTTCTGTCTCTCCCTTTATCTTCTTAATTCATATATATACAATATACTTATAATATATAAAATATAATTGATTTATGTATATAATATTATACAATACCTATTATATAATATATAATATACTTATAGATAATATCTAATAAACACATGTATATAAAATAAAATAAAAAAATTAATTAAAACACATTATTTAAAAAATATAATAAATAAATAAAATAATATATATATATTAAAAAATTAATTGTTTTTTTTCTTCTTATTAAAAAAATTAATAATATACATATTAAATATTTGTTTATATTGAAAATTGTGCTTTATTAATATTTTGCTTAACTTCTATAACTTGCACCTCGCTTTGGTGAGGCGCGCGCCTCGCCTCGCGCCTCGGGGCTTAGGCTCCAGGTGACCTTGGCGCCTCTCGATGCGCCTAGGGCTTTTTAAAACACTGCATGACAGAGTGTTTATAAAATTGTTATTAGAATGGAACCTATGAATACATCATAACAGAGAAGATTTAAGTTCAGGAAAAATTTACCAATAATGACCACATCAACTTTAAGAAACTAGGATTTTATCTCATAAGCTCCTTGTTTGCTTTTTAGTTAATATCTATGTAGCAGACGTTAAAATAATGCAATGCAACCATTACCTCTCAGAATGTAAGCAATCAAGGTGAGGAGAGAAGGAAGCATCATCTACAGTAAAAAGTATCAATGTTTCAGTACCTTTTTTTGCAGCAGCTCTAATTGCATTAATGTTTGCAGTTCCATTGATCTTATACATATATGAGTTGGAGCCAAAACCACCAACACAAGAGATCTGCAAAAGCTCACCTCAAATTAGAAGAAATCATCTACATCTTCATCAAAAACAGCCAAAAAATAATAAAGAAAGGTAATCACTATAACTTTTCTGTCCATGCAACACAGCTTGGCATAAACAACAAAATATGACACCAGCAAATAATATAAAGAAAATGCTTAGCATGAAAGACTGACTCATATTTCCTTCTAAAAAAATCAGGACAAAGAAACGAAAGAATGTCTGCATGAACAATGAAGCCATTATTCCTTTTGGGAAAAGGGAATTTAGACTGCATAGAAGATGCACTATGGTTACTGAATAAGAGATCGATTTTATTTCTAACAGAAATATTCCCACATTTTAATTTGATTCATAAATCAAGTAAAAATAAATACTACTCATGGGTTGTCTAATGAATCAAGGTAGACCCAAATTTACAATTCCCAATAGATATCCCTTGAAAATATAATTACCAACAAGATTCCCTCCTCATTCATAGTCCCAGGACCATCCACACTTGAATTTGAAGAGACACACTTTGGATGACTTGTCCCATCCCGTTCAATTTTTTTTTTTAACCAATACAATCTGTGAGGAGGAAGGGAGGCAGCAGTAGGGCCAGTGGCGCCCCCCAAAAAAAAACGCAGTAAACAAAAACAATACCATACAGACTAGAGGTATAAGAACTACATACAACAGAAGTCACTCCACTCAATGCTTCCTTCCATGAATCATCTGAAAGCAAGTTTCCTGAAAGTAGAGGAGACAACAAAAAAGGAGTTAGATGCACTACATTGACTACGATGGGGTAAAAAATAAATGTGCCATACAAGAGAGCAAACCTTGATGCCAAATCACATTGTTGGCCCATGATTCATTTATAGATGACCTACCAGACCTACAAGAAAGAAGCAACCAGTTTCAGGAACACAAAAAAAGTAAATATTAAAACACAGCCAGTCCAAGTACAAAGCATACAAGCAAGAAGGAAGAAACCACAAGTAGTCCCAAGAATGTTGAAATAGCCCATTCTGGCGTGTAATACGGTTCTGTCCACAAATCATATCATCAAACCAACATTGATAGACTAGACATAGGATAAGCGTCCAGTATCCAAGCTCCACAAATAAGCCAGTAGAGTCTAAGCACATAGAAGAGTCCAACGTTGAGAGCACGTAGGGATATTTTATATATAAAATATGTTGCAAGAAATATTTTTGTTGATAAGTTGTAATAATATAATCTCTATGTTCACAACCATTTAAAGATGAGCATAGTAAATTCTCATTACAAAAGTGACAATTCATCACCAATAACATTGATCTTTACACCTTAATCCTCACAAATCAAAATAGAAAGATCTATCACCAATTTTTTAATTCCTAATAGTAAGGCCAAAATCTAGGATGAACATATATTCTTGACAAATTTTCTTTCATATGTTTGAGTGATCCCATCCTAGTTGGATGGCTGATTCTATCTCAACTTTGATAAAATTCTTACTCTAGACTGTGGAGTTGCATCCCAGTAGGGGTTTCCTACAACCAAGAAGTAGGGACTTGACACCATGCCCGAGTACAAAATTTTCAATTTTCCTCTTCTTTAAACTGATGGAATTTTATGTTGTTCCAGAAGACGAGCAAGCTAAAGAAACTCTTTATATTATTGCTTGCATAACTGTTAATTTCTGAAACTTCACGAACAAAATGTTGACTCGACCCAATAAATATAATAGAACATGTTAGCACATAACTTGGCATATTAATTAAGTACATATCATAGTACTGAACCAACATTTCATGCAAGAGCAAGAGACTAAGATGAGCAACAAGAGATGCTAAGTTACCCCTGGTATGTGGAAGATATCATATCTAAACTATTTGTATAGTTATCATAGTTCAACATGCAACTTAAACACCATTAAAAAAATGTACGCAATCAATGAGGAAAACACATGAAAACCATCCAAGTATTGTTTCATTCAATCTCCCTCACCCAAACGTGTCTTGAAAATCTCAATGATTAACAACTATGGTCAGCAGAATTCCTTTGCAAGAGCAATGTATGATGAGGATTCCACCAGCATGCCAGATCCAAAAGTACAAATATACTAATCCCTCATTGAACAAAAAAGAAAACGATGGTTTGTGATAAAAAAAAAGTTCAACCTAGATTATATATATACACAAATACAATTTTCCTTGAAAGGATTTCATCACATAATAACATAAGATATCAGAAGACCAAATTAATTATCCAGAATGAGAAGGGAACTATAGTCTCAGTAGAAGCATCAAGCTTATGTTTACATAGATACGTAAATATTGTTTTGAACAACACACAGATATATAAAATATAGACACCCATCTGAGGATAAGCTGCATAATTATTGAGGAAGATGATACCTGCTAAGGCTTGCAACAGATAAACCACGATCTAATGCTTCTTTGCAAACATGTGAACCAACAAATCCATTACCACCCAACACAAATAACTGAATCAAAATACATAAGAATCACCATAAATGATAGCTGAGGCAAACATCTAGCACTCGTAAGGTTGATTACTTCACACCATTAACTACCTTCTCTGATGGAGGTGGGGGAGAATTTACTGTCTCTCCTTCCTCAATTTTGAAAGGTTCATCGACCTTAGTAGAATCTGTTGAGAGAAATCTCCAATTTCTGGCTACAGCCATCATACTGTTTCAGTAGAATTAAGAAAACAATTAATCTAAAATAATATTCCATTAGGGAGAAAACAAGACAACCTAATTTTTTATAGCACGGATTGGCTTAATCCACAGGCAGAAATAAAAGAAGTACAGCAAAGAAGCCATAGCTACCAGTTCTTTCACCACTTATCTTAGGTCAATGGCTAAAACTATACTTGATTGCCAGTGTTGGCTTCATCAGGCGTAATATCTTTAATGGATAAAACATACTTGATCAAATTCCATCAGTGATCAGAAATCCATAGGTCAAAGGCTCTATTAATGTCAATGAAAAACAAAAATCAACAAAACAGATCCCCATGTTTATACTACTCAGTATCATCAAAGAACTGAGGCTGGTATGACCAACTTACTTCTAAGAAAGTTGCAAGCCAAAAGAAAAACAGAGCCCAATAATTGACATTCTCTAGAAAATGCCAGCATTTTTTAGTACAACAAACAATGTATTGTTTTTTACTATAAACATCACGGCTATGACTTTAAAACTACACTCAACTTATGGTCAACATAATACCAAACCAAACTAAACCTTGTATCCCACTAAGTGAGGTCAGTTACACGAACCATTTATCAGTTCGATTAAATAAAATAAATAAATATACTACCACATCCCATGTAAATTTAGGTCTTCCGCTCCACGTAACATTTCCCTTTATGGTTTATATATTTTCCTTTTGCATCAATAGATCAGCATTATATATGATCAAACCATCTTAACATATTCTCTCTAACACATCCATCCAAGTATTCTCATCTCACCTACACAAATTCTATAAATCTGTTATTTCCTAGTTGTCCAACATTCTGTCCTTCCCGTTATCATTGACCTTATAATTGCTCTATAAAATTTTCCTATCAATTTTGATCATATATTATCGCATAATATGCCAACAAAATGCAGTGTATTGGCAACATAATTGAGTGAAAAAATCGAATTTTCAAAACAACAAACATCACTATATACATACATATATTAAACCAGTAATGCAGTGATCCAATTACATGAACACAACAACAACAAAAATAAAAACACAAAAAGTACACAAAATTCTAGACGAGCCAGGTTCGGATTTCACTGGAATTCATTTCACAACATGTTCCAAGGAGTAGTAATAATCACGTTAAAAATGTTTCCGAGAAAGCCAAAAAAACCCTTCTCTTCCTCCAATTTCTATTTTCTCGGAAACCAAACAGAGTATTCAACGGAAAGAGGCGCGAGGGAACACAAATTAGGGAAGACTTACTAGAACCTGGAGAGCGAGTGGCTTGAATGAATCAAACGTATCATAATCTTCTTCGAAGGAGTAGATCTCCACACAGACGCAGTGCTCTCTACTCGAAAGTTCTGGGTTGCTTACGGCAGGGGCGAAGCAGATTCTGGTGAGTTAGAGAGAGAGAGAGAGAGAACACATGGCGTGTAACGCCGCTTACAGGCATGCAGTATATGTGGCTCAATTTGAACCTTTGGGAAGTTTTTAAAGAACATTTTTCACAGAGTTATGTGAGGAATATTAAAATTCTATTAAATATTTAACTAATATTTAACTAAATATTTTGTGAGTCGTATAAAATCTATATGAGTGAGGTGGTGTTTGGCAAGTTGGGTTGGGGTTAAAATAGTCACAAAAGACAAAACAGGCTATTTTAGTCACAACAAACAAAATATCACATCCAACCATAATCATTACACTCTTCTCTCACAAAAAAAATCAAAAAAGCCAAAAAGCCAAAAAGCCTTTCCCAAACCAAATTTTTTAGCTCAGGCTAAAATAGCCAAAAAAGCCAAAAAGTCGAAAAGTCAACCCACTTCCCAAACGGAGGCTGAGTATGTGAGATATTAGTCAAATATTTAGTAAAATGTTTTAGACGTCCAACATTTTTGTTTTTCACATGCTTAATGAATGATTATTAATTAATGAGACCAATTATATTTAGTGTGTTTGATTTAAGTTTTTTGGATTAAATTTTTTGAAAACTCAATTTTTTGTTTTTTGTGTTTTTTTATTTTTAGTGAATATTTTTAAAATTTTAAGCATTTTTTATTTTTTTTTAGATGTACTTTATTTAGACGTATCTAAAAAGTAAAAAATAGTGAAAAAATATTTTAAAAAATTAATAAATACATAAAAATATAAAAAATGTACTGAATTCTTATATATTTTTTTTAATATTTTTGGTATTTAATGAATTTTTAAAAGATTTTTTTTATAATTTTTTTACTTTTTAGGTATATTTGTGTTAGGTATGTCTAAAAATTAAAAAAAAATTACTTAAAATATTAAAAAAATTCAGTAAAAACAAAAAAATACGAAAAACAAGAAAGTAGAATTTTTCTGAAAACTGTTTTCAGAAAAATGAAACCAAACAAGCTAATCAATATTTTTTAACAAAAATAATAAAGATTTCAAAAATTTTACTAAAATTTTTACCAAATATCTCACATGGGTGTGGAACCCGCATGAGACCCACTTGTATGGGTCTCACACCCATATAAAACGTTTAATAAAAATTTTGATAAAATTCTTAAAGTTTAACATTACTCATTTGTTAATATTTAACAAAAATACATTATATTGATTATCTTTTTAGTATGTTAAAAAATCAAAAATAATAAAAATAACATTAAATTTTAGTATAAATATAAGTTTTTTTTTTCAATAACTCGATATCCAACCCAATAGACCAACTAACTCGAGAGACCAATCTCATTATTTATTAGTGGATGGCCCATTTAAAAACGACTATATGGACTATTTATAAGAGGATGTTTTAAATTTGAAATCATAAATTTTATGAATTTCATTTATATTATTAATAAATTATTGATAAAAATAAAATTAAATGTTATGTGATTTAAAATGTTAAAAAATTTTAATACAAAAATAGAACTTCTTATACTTTATCCAAGTTAAGTGTAATTTACCGTGCAAAGATGTTTTGTTTTATTTATTTGTTCGTTTTTTTTGTTTTGTTTTTTTCTTTTTTTCTTTTAGAAATTCCATTTTGTTGTTCATTAATGCTTTAAAGTCCAGCCCTAGCACCATGCAGTGTTGGACCAACCCCTTTGACCCAACCCAAAGTCTATTCTCTGACTCCTGAGGAACAAAGGTTCTGGGCTTTTTTTTTGGGTCTGATTCCGGGCTTGTTAAGTGAGCCGAATGCTCAACCCAAACCCACCAATCCAATAATGCCAACTTTTGGCTATTCTATAGTGCCTCCGTTTGGAAAGTAGGTTGACTTTTTGACTTTTTGACTTTTTTTGCTATTTTAGTCTGGGTTAAAAAGCTTAGTTTGGAAAGAGTTTTTTAGCTTTTTGGTTTTTTTAACTTTTTTTGTGAGAGAATAGTGTAATAATTATAGGTTAGATGTGACATTTTATTTTTTGTGATTAAAATAGCCTATTTTATCTTTTGCGACTAAAACAGCCACTTTAGCCCTTCCCAAACAATGCCACTGATTTAACAATTTTGTTCAATGCTTATTTTTCCGATCACTTTTAATAATAATGCTAAAATTTGATAATATATTAATTTTTTTTATCAAATTTGACATCAATGATGTAATAAAAAAGTGGAAAAAGAAAAGTAACAAAAAAAAAAATGATATACAAGTCTACTTTTTACACCTTTTTTATAAATCTAATGATGTGTAAGTAATATGATTAGTTGATGATTAGAAAAAATATGAGAGATGGTGTTACCTTAGATCTCTTAATTAATTGTCACATCATTAGATTTAAAAAGTGAATCTAATTTTTAGACTTGAATAACAATACTCAATTTAAATTCTATTTCATTCATTTGTCTCTTGCCATTTTCTATCCTTCCACAAAATTATTCTCAAATTTAAGATATCCAAACACAACCTAAAAATAGGAAAGCAAGGCACGTTGATTAAAAAAAAAAAAAAAAATCAGTGAGACCTCTAAAAAGAGACCTCTAATGAAACATTAATTTATTTTTTTCTCCCTTATGTTTTGTCTTTTACCTCACTGTTTTTTTATTATTATTATTATTTTTTTATGTGGTGCCAACTCATTAGAGTTGCTTTAAAGCAACTCTAATTAGAGCTTTGTAGCAAAACTGTAAAAAAAAATGTCACCCTTATTCCTTCTCAGTGGTCTCATGCCAAACCACAAGTGCCTGAATAACTTGCAACATGCAAGTTGTTCATGAAAAAAGAAAAAAGATGCTAGTATGTTTGGAAATATATTTTTTTAGTAATTTTTTTGATTTTTTGGCTAAAATATGATGTAAAAAAATTAGTATATTTGCGATGATTTTTTAACTTTTTATGAAAAGATGTACAAAAAGTAGAGAGAAAAGAGAATCTTTGAATTTTTAACATAAGTTGTTGACTTTTTAAATTTTTTAGTAATTTTTTGACTTTTTTAATAATTTTTTGACTTTTTGACTAAAAAAGTCACTTGCCAAACGACGCCTGCCTAGAAAGTGGGAAGCTAAGACACCAACTGTGATCCACCAAAGAGGAAGGAATGCCTAGTTTGAAGTGTTTACACGTGTAAAGTTTCAGACAATGGAGCAACTGTAAATTAATTTGCAGTGGTGATTAAGAGCTCTAATAAGAGCACAAGTGACATGGCAACTTAAAAATAAAAAATAAGGAAAATGAGTTGGACCCTCTCAAGGAAGTACCCCCTTTGACCCCTTCTCTCTCTCATTAGCCAATTTTTCTTTTTTCTTTTTCTTTTTCTTTTTCTTTTTCTCCTTCTCATCCAATCACCACCCGCCACATGTGTGTGGGGGGTGGTGAGGTAGTGATTGGAGGGGATCTCAATCACTTCCCAAAAAATAAAACAAAACAAACAAAAGCTAAAATATCAAATCACACAGTGAGGCCCACAGATTAGAGCTCTTCTAGAGCTCACAATTTAAAGGTCTCGAGCATTTTTCATTAATTTATTCACTTGCACAGAAGAGAATTTTAGGAAAGAGGACGGCACTCTGATTCCCCATTCCCCCACAGTTGGTTTCATATCTCTTTCTTTGTATCATTGCAAGTCCCATTTAGGTACAAAGGTTTGAAAATCAAAAAATACAAAGGTTTTTCTTTCTTTTTTTTCAGATGGAAAAAAAAAAATACAAAGGTTTGGTATGGGATGATCATCATAATCAATTATAGCAAGCATTCCAATAATTGCCAAGGTCCAAATCTTCCCTGTGTTGTACAAATAAGATTTATACGTATATATTTTTTTGAAGACCATCATATTAAGATTTACCCTTTATGTATATATAAGTTTAACAATACTTTACGATCACTGAAAATTTTATTCACCCAAATTAGTAATGTGAAAAACATTTTTTTGTAATTATAAATTTAAACAAAATAGTATTAATGCAGACAAATATATTAAAAAACAAAATTCAGTAATTTTGATTAAAAAAATGTTTTAATAAAACATTTTATGTAAAAATATGTCCAACAATATACATAAATGATGATTGCTTTTGTGGGTCATCCAGAGGACATATATAGCAGGAAAGGAGCTGGACGTCAAGTGGGAGAACAAGTTCTATCTCTCTCTCTCTCCCTCCCTCTCTCCTCTTATATTTTGTGTTGTGACACAATAATCCAATTAATGTTATCTAATTCCTTGAGTTTTAATTTGATTAGTTAGGACTCTAATCTTTGATTAAAGTGAAGTAAACTTAGCCCGAAATGCCACATCCACCCTATTATTTTTTAATGTACAATATTTTAGACAATCTTTACTGTATTAAGAATAAATAATATTTGTGTACTTAACAACATATAGAAAAAATAAAGAAAGAAGATAGATTGTTTGATTACAAAAATCAAACCAGCAAAGAAAATAAAATAAAACAATAACAAATTCTTATTTTGTTACAAAAATAAAATAAGAATTTGATAAAAATAAATAAATAAAACAGAAAGTAAATTAATTACTAACCTTATGTATTTATTAAACAAAATTATGATCAAGTCCAGTGTTTAACACTGTGTCCTTAAGATAGATTCGTCCTCTTCACGGTGCTTTCAGATTGTGAACGTCTATCCCCCAGGATGAAATGATCAACTACGAATAATAGCAGCATTACAATTTATTCGCACAACGAACACACTTTATGTTTACACTCTTTGTCACAGGAAAAACTAATGCAGCAAAATGCAGAGATTAACAGCAGCAGAGACAGAGAAGAAATCAGAATTGAAAAACTAATGAGGGACTTGTCTATTTATAGGATAAAATGTGGCTGTTCAGATTTGCATCCAACAGGTATGGTACCTGTTCGGACAGTGCTAAACAGATAAAGCACTGTTTGGTTTAAATTTTAAACAGATAAGAAACTGTATTGAAGAGATTGGAATTTGTTTGGACATATATGGAACTTGTACATAAATTCTGAAGAGGAGCAAACCAAATTTGAATTTTCCAACAGA